TTATCTACATAATATTATATTGTTATGGAATTAATTATTTTTGCTTTTAAGCTCCATGGCCTATGTTTCCAAGGGTATATTTACAGTTAAAATATATATATATATTATATTGTTAACTGTATTTTAATATGAATGCACGTCGTCCGGAAAAAACTCACAGAAATTAGTTCATAAATATTTAAATTAGATTTGCAAAACAAATCGTATGTACAATACAAATCTTCAACGTGGTCATTGCAATATAGTTACATGAAACCGCAAATGTTATTTTTAAACATTACGGGTTTCAGTCACGCCACATCCATATTATCAACATTTAACTTTAAAAAATAACAATCGTTAATAGTAAGTTATTAAAAGASCATTGCTTTCGTATTTTACTGAAAACTGTACCACTCTTCCAAAATTATTCATACCAACGATTATAAGCTAATAGGGTGGGTGCTTTAATCATCATTATCTTTTTGTAAATAAAAATAAGTTTAAATTATTTAAATAACATCTATGTTTGAATATTCAAACTATAAATAATATAATTAACTATAATTAATAATTCAGGTTGAAACAATAAAGTAGAAATAATATCGACGRCCGAGAATCAAGACGACCGATGATACTTTTTGATTAGAAAATGGTCCGTAAAAAATACTTGGAAATTCCTTACATAATTGTAAGGGGTAAAAACTTGGTAGTTTACTCAAGCGTAATCAATGTGTCCATGGTGAACAGTTGAAAAGAAATAGTCTATTTTTTATATTTGTTTTATCTTGAAATGGATTTGTATTTAATTAAATAGATAATAATAATAATAAAATACACAGTGGTAAAATGACGTAGAGTCAGTTAATATTTTTTTCTCCTTGCAATATTCACAAATGAAAACGTGTAGGCCGAGTCTAAATGCCCATTGGTGGTGAAACGAAATCAATTTCCGATATAAAAGTCACTATAATAAGTTATTATTAACGAAAAGGGAACGTAGATAGGTATAAGGTAGTTGATAACAAATGTCATTTTTCTCATCGCCGGCACCAGATTGTGTGACATTTGGTGACTGGGTAGGTATAGAACCCTAACAGCGGTCGAGGGGATAGGAAAAAAGTAAAGGTTAGTCTACAAAAGTTCATGTATCTAAGGACAGGGGTGGGTTTTTTAATCAAACTGTCGTTTCTGCGGTGGGTTGGCATCACTACTACTACCACCAGTGTGGTAATAATCGACCGTGACTCCAAACAACGTCATACGACCTTGCTACCACACAACCGTATAGAATAATCTCTTACGTCCCTACCGTCCATGCTGAAAAATACCAAATGAATTACTATATCTCGAAAAGCTCCTCGCGCTACCACCACACTTTTTTCCACTGCCGTCACAGTCACCGTGTGTCTCTTTTAATTAATTGATCTCTTGGACTTTAGTAAGACCCTATATTTTTTCTACCCTCTATCTTGCCACTTTGACTTTTCTTTTTTTCCCATCCACATCAATCTGCTCATGCCATCCGTACACCATTTTGTTCATTGGTGAACGGAGCTACCAGCTTCAATTAGATTTACGAACGTCTAATGTTTTGTCATCCACTACAATCGTACAACAGCAGCAACTTCAATCCACCCTCTACTCGCCTCTCCCAGCTACCCGTTAATCTCCTCACATATTATACTGTAGCATTTCRATTTAAAGATACTAACACTTAATCCAATCAAGAATTATAGTCCTACACGTGTCTATAAATGGYGTCTGTATAATAGTTAAATTGGCCAAATTAAAAATTTTCTGATGTTTATAGTGTATTATTTCGTAAGTAATAATTTATTTATTTTTCACAAAAAAATAAAAATGAAAATTTTATCTAAAAAAAAAAAGCTATTTGCTTAAAACTGTTACTATTCAATTAAAACTTATAAATTAATTYATATTAAACGCATAATATAAAGTTTATTCTGTGTATCAAATAAAAAATGTGTTAAATTAAAAAATATTGACTATCGAAAAATAAATTTAAAATTAATACCTATTGTTAAATTATCATAAGTATCTCAGTAAGCATAAATACCTACAATCAATTATAATTTAATCGCCAAAAACAATTCAAAAGACACTTCCTTTTACATCTCTCTATCCACTRATACCTCCTCATAGTTTTCCTTTAGTTTTTCACTCTAATCATAGAAGATCCTTTGATATTGTATTACAATATCATTTTTTAGGTCTTCCTAAAAGTATCTTCCATCTTGGTTTACAATTCARTACTTATTTTACAATAGTGTTAAACCTTAGTATGTGTCACCTAGCCAGTTAAGTGTCTTGGTTCTAATTACCCCAATCATATTCGGTTCTCCGATGTATTCATTCTTCATTTTTCATTTAATATGTACTTATTTTAATAGAATATGTACCAATTACCTACAGAATTGTCTAATATTTGTAATTGGATTGATATCATCCAACATATATTTATTAAAAACAAATTAAAATATATTTATTTTTCAAAGTTAAGGGTGAATACTTTTGTAATTAAAAATTAATTAATTTATTGTGTTGTGGTTATAAAAGTTTGTACTAAGTACTACTAGTTAGAAAGCTTAWATTCTGGTTATTGGGTTCTAAAATAAACCAATTATTCCAACCTACTATAATATATACCTTATAAAATTCTGTAAAATGCACTATATATGTTTTCTATCTACGGCATTCAATCACTTGTACATGCTACAAGATCTCCTCAAAATCAATCTATTTGTGTCCATTTCAGGCTGGCCACTGATTACAAATGAACTGTCAATCCATGGTTAATAGCGCAGTTCAAAGTAGAACATACAAAGTTTACAATTCTCACAAAAGTTTTGCAAAGGTTTCTTTGATAACATTAATTAATCCGATCTCAGTGAATATATACAATACAATTGTACTGTATAGATAATTTATAATTTATAATTTAAAATGAATATGTGTCTATTACCTCAGTTGTTCTTATTATTTACTTTGAAACAGATCGAAAAAAACATTATATAAAAAATAAAAAATAAATGAATCTTAAGTAAAAGATATAACTATATTTTGTAACTTATAGCCAAATGCCATACGGAGCCCCGGGTTGTGAGTGAACTTATATCACRACAGATGATATTTTGTGAGTTCTAAATACTCACCAGAAAAKAATTTATAGTACTTAAAAATACATCTATATTTCATTATTTTATTATTTTATTTAAAAGCTCTTAATAAATCAGCCATAACAACGCACTCGTCTGATAAATAACCAGGGAGGGAGGTAGGTTTTAAAAAATAACCGACAAGGCGCTTCRACGACTGTGTACTCGAACGTATTAAAAATCTTCGGTGGCACTTAATAATGGTATTATTCCACGCTGGTAATAGACTGTGAAGTGAAAACACTCGTGAGTAAAAAAAGGCAAGTACCAGCTTCCAAAACTGAGCAGAGAGGAACGATGATTGAAAACGCAAGCGGGAAAACCTAGGGGGATAGGGGTGGTAATCGCTGAAACTATAGCGGGAGAAAAGAAGAAGAAGAAGAAATAGAAGAAGAATATAATATACAATAGCGATGAAAGAAACAGCTTGMGGGTTTGGTGACGGGTGGGGATCAAACCGGCCGGAAAGTCGCCAGTCCGTCACGTGAAGAAATTCTCACGGTGACGTTGAGTTGCGTGAAGTATTGTATGCCCGAACGCAGTGAAAGAGTGGCGACTGCCAGCCGGGTCTTTACTTAAACGAGCTAATCTCATTCTCTACCCCTCACAACTGCCCCACATCAACTAGTCCATCATCACAGCCCACCTGACATGACGAGGGGTAGCTAGAACCAACTATTGAACCACCAAGGCTATTGAATTGCAATCGAAGTAACGCTAAGACGGTAATACTATATAGGTTTTTGCACGTGACTACGTACAGTTTATTGTATAAATATACACCTACTMGGTTTTATTTCGTATACTCACTTTGTTTTTTTTTTTACTTAACATTGGTCGATATCTAACAAAATAATAATTCAAAGCAGCTAGTCGCGTGGTTGCGTTTTACATACTCACTACTTTTATTTAAAACCACGAAATCATGATCAGCTTTTTACATGAGTATAAACGTCATTTATATCGAACGCGAATTACAGTCTCGATTTTGGGTTTACAAATCTTATTCTATTTTATTATATAGTGAGGCACGGTGGCGTTATAATCCGATTTCCGTCGAAATGGCTAACCCAGCTCTACCAACGAGTATATAAATTATAAATACTTTATAAAAGTGACACAAAATAAAGCAATACATATTCTTTATTATAATATAAAAGCTGGTATTATATAATGTTATTAGCTCATGCATAGCTGATTTAATATTATGAATTTTGGTACACTCATGGAAACAAACGAGCTTAACTATAACCCGCAATCAAAAACCGAGAGACAACGATTGGAAAACAAAACATACTGTCGCTCGTATAGAATTATTTAAATATTATTTCGTAATGTTTCCATCGACATCATTATTTTGTCATATTGAATATAAAAACCTCCCGAGATAGCAATCGAGAAAATATTGTATTTTTAAATAGGCAATTTGCAAGTACAAAAAAAAAGCATTCAAAAATAAATAAAATGGGATTACCAATGTTCATTTTGTTCTTTCACAGAATGTATAATGTAAAATTTATCTGATGGATTTTGATCTTAAAATAATGTGATATTTTTTTTTATTTYAACTCAAGATACATCAATTCAATGTGTATACGTATTATATTACATAATTATCTACTACATTATTTTAAAACAATAATATTGTTTTTTAAATGGATACAATGTAGTTTAAGGAAACATTCAAATAATTAACCGATTAAATTAAAAAAATAAATATTTTCTATTAGTTGAAAATATTGAGCTCGTATTATATTTATGCTCACGGTTCTTTGAAATCTTAATAGTATAGTATAGTATTATTAGTATAGATTAATAAAAAGAAACAGAGTGTTTACTTACTTTTTTGCCATCTAACTCGTGTGATCCTTGTGCCAGAACTTTGTCCACACTGGACGGATCTGCGAAAGTGACGAACCCGAAACCCCTGTAAACAAAATTATAATTTTTTTAAGTCGTTCGTGTATATTGTTAGTAAAAATCTATAAAATCTGTATAATGTTTGTATTTTCTTCAGCTCTCCTCCTCAGTTTAACCCCATGCAATGTAAATTTAAAAGCAATCGCTTTCATAAAACACTATCTGCACCACACCTGCCTGATGTTTAATACTAATATTTTGATTTAAATACAATTAAATATTTAAACTTGTAATTTTTAATAATTTATAATTACTATAATTATTATATACACATTTATAGCAACACATAAATTACATTTTTACAGAATACAACTTCCTTAACTATCTTATATTTCTGTGCAAGTATCCAATTGTCTAATTATATTCCTTACAATATACTAAATAATAATAATAAAATCATAATTAGTTTTTTTTTAATTTCGAATATTTAGCCTCTTGTATTTTACCTCTTTTAAATTGATTTCTACATTTTTTTTTTTTTATCATGTCATATTGATATTATTTGTACGAATATACACTCTCTATAAATCATAATGTCATAGCGTTATAGTATTAATTTTATAAACTCTTTACTCTATATACCTTCGCATCAACTTTGAATTTTAAGTATTACATTTTCTTACGATACAGCAGCTCTTTATTATTTATACGTACACTAGTTAATCTCAGTTATAATATTTTATCGCAGAAAMTACATCGCAATTGTTTTAATTTCATACATCTACATATTATTAAATTTAAAACATCTTCCATAATTCCTTCATTCCCTCACGTAATTTACTTTGAATATTTAATCTTTCACACCGTGATTACAGACTATCATTCCTTTGATTAACTCTTTCGTGAAATTTAAATCAGGTTTCTTACTCTATAATATAGTTCATTTAACATATTATTCAAATAAAATTCTAAACGAATTATCTATCAAAGTTTTGTTTTGCGTTCCATGCCAGTTTTATTAACAGTATGTAACTTCATTTATTCTAATAATAAAAAATAATATTTGTATACAAGTATATAAAATTATGTGTATATAAACATTATAAAATACAAGCTTAAATATAGTTAAATGGAATATTAATATAATTTATATCTACATCAACACTAAATATTTATAATGGCCAAAATGTTAAATTCAAAAATGTTATTCTATGAAATAAGTAGTTTGAATATGTTATAATATAAGTAAATACAAGGAAACGAGAAAAGCATGAAAAATCATTTCTTTCTACGATTCTGTTAGAAGAAACTTTTATTCTAAAATTTAATTTAATTGTTAGTATTATTATCGTCAAACAATTAAACTTAATTGATAAAAATTATACTTTATTAGGAAAAATGTGCCCTTATATTATGTGTATGATACTTAATATTTATGTAAATAATGTTACCATTAAATGTTATATTATGTAATATGTTAAATATTTAAATTTTTGTTTTAGAAAAACAACCAAAGTGTTGCTGGAATGAACTATAGAATCTTGTACTCAACTTCAGTTTAATTTTAAAAATATTCTTTGTATAATAAAGTGTTTAAAAATATGTTTATGGTACAGTTTATACTAAAGATTAAGATGTATTATGTTCCATAACCATATATTCAATTTTTCAAACAATACAGACTTATTTAAATTACTTTCTTTATATTTTTAAACTGCCAATAATTAGATTACCTTAAGATAACGCTGCACCTATAATATTTTATTGATGACTTAAGATTGAAACATATTTTCATAAAATCAAATCAAATTAATTTAATTCATTAAGTATGTTAATTCAGACAATAAATCATATTTTGTAGATAACAATGTATGAAAAAAATTTTTTTTTTTTTTGTATTGTGTATTGTTTTTAATGTGTTATATTATCAATTAAATTATTTTTAAAAATGTACAGGTAGTCCATATCTTTGCATACTAATACATTTAATATGATATTTTTAAAATATCATAATCTGTTACTGTAATTTATTAACTTGGTGAATATTATAGAACCTATCGTATATTATGCAATAATTCAAATATTCAAATTTATTTTCTAACAATTTTATTATTCCATTTCCAACCCTAACCACTCAACTTTATATATCGTCTATTTAACTGATGGTCTAATGTTTTGTAGATGATGACTAAAACAGTTGAGACTGAGTGGACAGCGGATAACGTTTAATTTTCTAAATAGCCGTTTACTTTTTCACTGATCACTGTGTCGACCATAGCAAGTGGTACGAGCTTCTGTGAGGTCAGTGTAAAAAGCAAAGGGCTATGTGGCAAATCAAWTGGCGGTGAGATGTATAACATAATATAAATGATGCAAAACCATATACAATAAAGGGTTTGGGCCTTAAATCATATAAAAAGGGAACGGATAGGATGCAGCACTGGAGTAGACGAGGGCGGTGGTGAAGATAGTAGAAGGTGGGTTAAGGGGGTGCGAGAAGGTGTGATAGACTTGTGCAACGGCGGCAGAACACACGTGAAGGGATGCAGTAAACGGGGCGAAACGGTTGATTTATGTTCGGTTTTAGCATGGAACGTATTATTTGTGAAAACGTTACCACCGTCGCGGAAACTGTTCCCGCGCATCCGAACTAGATTACGTGGTAACTTGGCGAGGTATTAAATTCGAACACCACCACAAAATCCCTTTTACTCYTTACTCCCTGCCCGCAAAATGCCCCTTCTACTTTCCACCAATTGGTCTGGAACACCAACACTCAGGGGCAACAACGACCGTCCTCATATAATATGTGTGTGT